TAGAAAATGAATCCCCAAGAAAGGTCCCGAGATCAATCATATTCCTGATTATGTGCTATTGTTTCAATCCATGAGTTTTAGTTTAAATTTTAAGTTGAAAAACACTTGTTCTTCGAGTGCAATAAACCTGAGTCGTCCCCTCCTTCAGTAGAGTGCTGTATGATTTGTACGTATTTGAGATATACAGAATATTTGTATGAACTATGCTTTTACCCAACTCACTGTCACTGCCACCATTTTCGCGGAGAAATGCATGGTCTAAAGTTTGTGTCCTGCCCTCTCTTTCAGCAGACCAAGTCACAGCTCAGGAGACGCGGTTTTATAAACACATAAAAGTGAACGTTCATGAAGACGTAATGAGAAGGGAACATTTGTTGTACATTAGTAGTGAATCATATCGGCGATAAGGCCATGTTACAATACATCTCTCAGCTGGTTTAAAAAAAGAAAAAAAAAAAAAAAAAAAAAAAAAAAAAAAACAGTGTTGCAGCACGAGCTCTCAAATGGAACAAAACCATGTTGAATTTCGCTTGGGAGCTCTGCGACCAGCGTGGATGATGCTTCACGTACGGTCGCAGACGAGAAATGACTGCGAACTTCGCAGACGGTCGCAGTGCGGCTTTGCCGCAGCAGCTCGCAGTCAGTGCGCATCGGCCTTAAGGCTTGGATGAGAAACATATTAATATTATTCGACCAAGCACGTGTGAGTCACGTGGGCAGAAATCGGCCCTCCTATTTTCAACGGAGGTTTCACTCCCGTGATGGTTTTCGTGTCTTCTAAGTGACTGTTATGCTCTTCAGAGTACCCTCAAGATCAGCTTTCATTTGCTCCCCTTTGTAAGTCGATTTTCGTTGTTTTACCGTGTATGACATAATAATTTGCTATTTTTATAGAATAATTTTTGCGGAATGTCATTTGGTTATCGGTGATAAAACGCCTCATACCATGGATTAGTCTACCTGCCTGTGATATTGGGCTGTGGTTTGACCCTGATCCCTTCCTGCCTTCCGTCAACACCAGCCCTTTTTCGAATATCCTTGAAGCATCCCGGGAAAGCCGGAAGGTCAAAAGGCCTTCCAGGTACCTGCAGGGTACAATTTCCGTGAACTTATTGAAGGAACAGCAGAAAAAAAATATTCCGATAATTCCTTAGACTTCAAGTCATATTAGGCGTATACATTTGTAAGTGCATACAGGGCATGGGTCTACGACTTAAAAAAAATGGGGGGGGGGGGGGGG